CTGCATGGAGGACTGGGTGTTATACGCAAACAATGAATCATGGAACACTACATCAAAAACTAATGATGTAATGTATGGTGATTAACATAACAAAAAATAATAAAAAAATTTACGTGCTGAAGTGTAGAAATCTTAATTTGCTGAATACACACACCTGTCTAACCCTATCATGCTATAGAACAGTGCCATCATCCATGAAACTTTTCTTGTGTCAATCCTCACTTTCATCTCCACAGAGGCAAAAATCTAATCTGATTTTTTCCCCATCATAGATAGGATTTGCCTGTTCTAGATTTCACATAAATTGAATCATGCAGTATAAATTCTTTTGTGTAATACTTCTTTCTGTCAGTGTGATTTTTTTTGAGCCTCATCCATAATATAGTATAGATCAGTATTTTGTTCTTGTAATTGTTGGGTATTATTCCATTGTATAAAGATTCCCCAGTTTTCTGTTCTCTTGACAATAATACCTGGACTATTTCCAGGTTTTGGCTATCATGAAAAAATAGCTGGTATAAACATCCATGTGCAAGTCTTTCCGTGGCTATATGTTTTTTATTTCCTTTGAGTAAATATCTAGGAGTGGAATTGCTGGGTCATAGGGTATATAGGTAAATGTTAATATTTTGTTAAGAACCCACAGGATCTTTTCCCAAAGTGGTTTACTTTACATACTCGCTAATAATGTGTAGGAATCCCAGTGTTTCCACATGCTCACCAACATTTGATGATTTGATCTTTCTAATGTAGCCATGCTGGTGGGTGTGTACTGATAATTCATTGTGGTTTGAGTTTGCATTTCCCTGATGGCTAATGATGTTGAGCACTTTTTGATAAGTTTATTAGCCATTTGTTATATTTGTAAAGTAGCTATAGCATATCTTTTGCCCATTTTTTATTGGGTTACATTTTTATTATTGAGTTGCAGGAGTACTTTGTATATACTAAATATTAGTATGGCATTGGATACATGTTTTGAGAATATTTTCCTTCCAGTCTGTGGCATGCATATTAGGATCTTTTGGTGAGCAGAAGATTTTAATTTTGATGTAGCATAATTTATCATTTTTTCATGCATAATTATTGTTTTCTGTGTCTTAAGAAATTTTTGCTTCTGCTCAAAATATGTTTCCCTCACATTCTCCTTTTTTTTTTTTTTTTAGGAGCTTTATAGTTTTAGTTTTTATTTTTAGGACTGTGATCCATTTAAAATTAATTGTGTATATGATGTAAGGCTGGTGCCAAGGCTCTTTTTTCCCAAATGGATACCCATGTGTTCCAGCAGCCATTTGTGGAATAGACTTTCCATTTCTCATTAGGTTGAGTTGGGACCTTTGTAAAATATTTGAATCAAATTAACATTTTAGTCTGATCTATTTCTCCGCTCTGTAGTTTCTGTTCCTTTGATTTGTTTGTGAGTTTTATGAGATTATCATTCTGTCTTAATCTGATTACTATTGGTTTGGAGGTCTTGAAATCATATAGTGTACCCATACGACTTGTTTTCTTTGCTTTTCTCCCAAGATTGCCTTGGATATTCTAGTTCTTTTGTATTGTCATATATAGTTAGAATCAGGTTGTCAATTTCTACCAAACAAAAAAATCTCAGTAGGATTATGATAAGGATTGCATTGAGTGTTTAGAACAATTTGGAGAATTGACATCTTAACAATATTAAATTCCACAGTCTGTTTGTTCTTCATTTACTTAGGTCTTCTTTCATTTCCCTTAGCAAAATATTTTGAGGGTAGAGGTTTTCCATGTCTTGTTAAATTACTAGCTTTTTTGTTTTCCCACTGCTATTATAAATAGAGTTGTATTATAAATTTCATTTTCCAATTGCTTCTGTCATATATATAAAATACAGTTGATTTTGTATATTGATCTTATATTTTGAAACCTTGGAAATTTACTCATGACTTCTAATTATTGCTTTGTAGGTTTCTTGGCATTTTCTATATATACAAATCTATCATCTGAAAATAGAGACAGTTATACTTATTTCTTTTTGAACTTTATGCTTTTTTTCACCATATTGCAATAACTAGGACCTCCAGTAAAATGCAGAATATACATGGAAAGTGTGAAATCTTTGTCTAATGCCCAATTTTAGGGGAAACATGGTCAATATTTCATAATTAATTATAAAGTTAATTGTAGGCTTTTCATAGAAGACCTTTATCAGGTGAGTAAGTTTTCCTCTATTCAGAGCTTTCTCAGAGTTGTTTTGTTTTTTTTTAAATCATGAATAGGGCACCTGGGTGGCTCAGTCGTTAAGTGTCTGCCTTTGGCTCAGGTCATGGTCCCAGGGTCCTGGGATCGAGCCCCACATCGGGCTCTCTGCTAGGCGGGAAGCCTGCTTCTCCCTCTCCCACTCCCCCTGCTTGTGTTCCCTCTCTCTCTGTGTCTCTCTCTGTCAAATAAATAAAAAAAAAAAATCTTTAAAAAAAATAAATAAAATCATGAATAGATGTTGAATTCTATTAAAGATTTTTTTTGCATCCATTGGGACAATTAGATTTCCATTAATGTGCTGAATTAATTGGTTGATTTTTCAAATGATAAAGTAACCATGAATTCCTGGGCTATGTTACACATGGTCATGATATATTATCCATGTTATATATTGCTAGATTTTGTTTGCCAAGTTTTTTTAGCTCTATGTTGTGAAGAATATTGGTCTGTAATTTTCTTGTAATATCTTTGTCAGTTTTTCATATGCTGGGTTATACTGGCTTCTTAAAATGAATTGGAAAGTGTTCTCTATTTCTCTATTTTCTGAAAAACATTGTGTGCAGTTAATTCTATTTCTTCCTTAAATGTTGAATAGAATTTATCAGTGAAATCATCTGGGCCTTTTAACAAAATGAGGATTTTAAATTTAAACTTATTTCTTTATTAGACACAGACTCTTCAGAGTATGTCTTATTATGTCAGTTTTGGTAAGTTACAGGTTTCAAGAAATTTTCCCTTTCATCTAAGTTTTTTTATTTATTGTCATAAAGTTGTTCAAGGTATTCCCCAATTATCTTTCTTAAGTATGCAGGATATGTAGGGATAATTCTTTCATTCCTAATACTGGTAATTTATGATTTCCTTCTTTTCTTGATCCGTCTAGCTGGGGACTTAGTAATTTTCTTATCTTTTTAAAAAAATCAACTTTGTGTGCTTACGTTTGTTAATTTTCTCAATTATTCGTTTTCTCTTTCACTGCTTTCTACTCTTATCTCTATCATTTTCATCCTTTTATTTATTTTGTTCATTGTTCTTCTTTCCCTAGCTTTTAAGATACAAACTTAGATCATTGTTTTTGGATCTGTCTTTTTTTCTAAAATAAATATTTAAAGCCATAAATTTTCCTTAAAGTATTGTTCTAGTTGTAATCTTTAAAATTTTAGTATGTACTATTTTTATTATAATTTAGTTCAAATACTTTCTAATTTCCCTAGTGATTTCCTTTTTAACATGCAGTTAATTAGAACTGTGTTGTTTAACTTCCAAGTATTTGGAGACTTCTGGATATCTAATTGTGTAGAAAGTCTCGATGTTTACCTTCATAGTCTCTGTCCCTGGTGTTCACAACCTGTATAATCCTCTACCCTTGAATGTGAGTGGGACATGTGACTTGTTTCTAGCCAATAGAGTATGGCAAAGATGAAGACACCAAATCAGGTGAGCTTCTATTGAGACTGCAGCCCCACTCAATGCCTGGCTTTTGCAGTCTGGTGAGACCCTGAAGCAGAGAACCCAACTGATCCATGCCTAGACTCTTGATCCATGGAAACTGTAAGATAATAAATGTGTTTTAGTATAAGTTGCTAAACCTGTCATAATTTGCTAGCAGCAATAGAAGATCAATACACTTACTGTTCTTTTTTGTTTCTTGTTTTTTAAATTTAATTAATTTATTTAAAAGTTTTAATCTTTATTATTCATTTATTCATTTGTTTATTTTTATTTTTTATTTAAATTCAATTAGCCAATGTATAGTACATCATTGTTTTTGATATAATGTTCTTGTTCTTGATTTTTAATTTATTTTTATTGTGAACTGAGAACACACTTCATATGATTCCTTTAATTTATTTTTTCTTGTTTTCTGAGTATATGTCCTATGCTAGTACCATGTGCACTAACAAGAATGTATATTCTGAAGGTGTTTGGGTATTTGGGTGTATTTTTATAATATTAAATATTATATAGCCTTGTAAATATCAAACAGCTCAAAGTGGTTGATAGCGTTCAGATCTTCTAAATCTTTATTATGGAAATGTGTATTTTTTTATTACTGTGTCTCTAAAAAATTGACCCTTTGTCATTATTAAGAGTTTTCAAAATTTCTGATAATACTCTTTTTTTTCAAGTTTTTATTTAAATTCCAGTTAGTTAACATACAGTGTAGTATTAGTTTCAAGTCTACACTTTAGTGATTCAACACTTACATACATCAGCCAGTGCTCATCACAAGTGCACTCCGTAATCCCCCCACCCAACTCCCCTCTGGTAACCATCAGTTTGTTCTCTATCGTTAAGAGTCTGTTTCTTGGCTTGCCTCTCTCTCTCTCTTCATTTTCCCTTTGCTCATTTGTTTTATTTTTTAAATTACACATATGAGTGAAATCATATGGTATTTGTCTTTCTCAGACTAACCTATTTCGCATAGCATAATACTCTCTAGCTCCATCCATATCATTGCAAATAGCAAGATTTCATTCTTTTTTGTGGCTGAGTAATATTCCATTGTGTGTGTGTGTGTGTATACCACACCTTCTTTATCCATTCATCAATTGATGGACACTTGGGCTGTTTCCGTAATTTGGTTATTGTAGATAATGCTGCTATAAACATCGGGGTCCATGTATCCCTTTGGATTAGTATCTTTGATGATAATATTCTTTGTTTTAAAGTCCACTTTATTTGATACTAATGTAGCCATTCCAGATTTCTTGTGTTTACTGTTTTCATTGTATATTTTTTTCTATCTACTTACTTTCAATCTGTTTCTTTATATGTAAGGCGAATATCTTTTTTTAAAGATTTTATTTATTTGAGAGAGAGAGAGAGTGTGTAAGCATGGGGAGGGGCAAAGGGAAAGGGAGAGAGAGAATCCTAAGCAGACTCTGTGCTGAGCACAGAGCCCAGTGTGGGCCTCTATCCCAGGACTCCAAGATCTTGACCTGAGCCAAAATCAAGAGTCAGACGCTGAACAAACTAAGCCACCCAGGTGCCCCAAGATGAATCTCTTTAGGTAGCATGTAGTTGCATGTAGTTTGGTCTTTTTTTTTTTTTTTCTAAATCTATTCTGACATTTTCTATTTTATGCTAGAACAAGATAGATGATGAGCTTATATGCCAAAGTTTCAGTTCTTTTTCACTAAGGAGGCTGTGGCCACCTTTAAACTTCAGTAACTTCAATAAGTTTTGTACAATGGATTGTCTCATATGTGTTTCAGATTTCTTCTTTCTCATCCCATATTAATTTGTACTGACCTTTATTCAAAGTTTGAAGTATACCGGACCTTTGATTTCTAATAAAGTGTCTGTGTCCATCTCATATTTGTTGTGAAAGGATGGCTGTGGTTAGGAGATGGTATAGATCCCTACCTTTCTCATCCCACTGCATAAAGTCTGGCTTTGTTCTGTAGGATCATTGTTCTTCTCTTCACTTTGTGGAGGCATGTGATGTTTTAAGCCATTTGGGTGAGAAGAGTTAGTGACTACTTGAATGTTGATCTGTAAAGCAGAAACCCCATTATATAGCTAATGTGCATTCTGTAATAATTCCAGGGTAATACCATTAGGCATACCCCTGAAAGCTGCAATACACCTATTGGACAGATCACGCAGAAAGCAACTTGTGAATTCTTCATATAATATAATCAGGGCTTCTTAAAATAATAAAAACAAGACCAGGAGATAGAATCAGTTTTAAAGTCAACAAAATTACACATAAGTTCTGGAATGTAGGTTATTCCTATTTACATGTCTTTTTACATCTACCCATCTATTACAGAGTCGAGGCACTAGCATTTTAAAGTCATTACTGCACCTTCAGTTCAAAACCCTCAAAAGTGCCCTCGGGCATATATGTTGTTTTCTTAAAAAATAAAATTATGTGGAAATAAAATATTTAAAATTATCTTTGTTATTAAAAAGCATTTTATTTATATATATATA